GTAGTGTTTGAATTGCAAAACGATTGTTTCAAAATAAAGGATTTCGTGTTTCTGTTGACAAAAAGCCTGTTTGAACTGACGCACAGTGTATTTGAATCGACAAATAGTAGATTTGCGGTAAAGAATTGCATATTGAAATAGAAGGATAGCATTTCAATTTCATTACTTGCGGAACTGACTATTTTGAATTAAACGACTGAATGTTTGGCTAGTAGAAAAACATTTTTAAAACGAAGGATTGCACTATTGAATAGAAAAAGAGCATAACTGAATCGAAGAAATGTTGCTTTGAATTGAAACAATGGATGCTTCAGTAACCAAATAGCGTATCTGAATTGTCAAACAAGAAGTTTGATTGAAGAACTGGAAAATCGGAATAGAAGGATATCATATTTGAATGAAAGAGCTCCAGGTTTTAATCACAGGATTGAATATTTGAATAGAAAAATAGCAAGTCTGATGCGAGGTTTTGAATTTTGACACTGAAAACGTGCCATACAAAATTGCAGCATATCTTGTTTCAAGCAATGCTTGAGATTTCCACCACTTAATTACATAGTTTAAAATAGGTAGCAGTCTAAACAAGAAGCCCAGTAGAGCTACATTGCATTTTATTGAGTTATCCGGCTGTTGGGAAACAGCATTTAAAAAATTCCCAAAGCATCTTTTGCGATGCCTGTAATTGCAAACTGGACGACTAACATGCACTACAACAATATTGCTATTTTGATAGTAAGCCTTCTTTCTCAGCTGGTTACACTTCAACTTGGTCTTAGATTACTTGTAAAGAAAATGATTCCTCTGGAAGTAGGACCAAACCCTACAATTTATCCAAGAACCTATCCAGTGGTGGTATTCCTTCTGGCAGACCCTTTCTCTTCCTTGTATTAGCCACAATCGTTCCGGGCTTCGTAGCTGGATCACTGGGGTCACCACCCGTCATTTGTTGCCAATGGTCAAATACGCACTGAGGGAAGGCCTGGCCACCAGTGTTGGAACGAAGGTCTGCAGTGAAACCTGGACAAAGCAGAAATATAATTGAGTAAGATACTATTGTGCATTATTTTGTAACTGTACGGACAGAGTGCAGTGACTTCGGATTACCTAGAAATTTCATGTGGTAGGTAATTTAGTGTTAACAACTTAGTTGAAAACGTAAATTAGCCACCGTAAAGGGTAAAAAGCTGACGTTTCGAGCGTTTGCCCTTCGTCAGAGCGTTAGCCCTTCGTCCATCGCTCTGACGAAGGGCTAACGCTCGAAACGTCAGCTTTTTTACCCTTTACGGTGGCTAATTTACGTTTTCAACTCAGTTGTTAACACTAAATTACCTGATATACTCTCCCACCGACGCAGCACCACAGTTTCTTTAGAAACTTACCCCTTTATTCAAATTTCATGTTATGTTGACTTCACTTCCTAAGGCAAAGTTGCAAGAAATTTATATTCCTACAAATGGCCAAAGCACTCACCAAATGATTCCATGACGGGAAGATAGGCTTTTACTTGAAACATGGGGGTTCCAGCAACTTGATTCTCTTCAAAGACGTGCCCTCGTCTTCGAGTTAGTACTCCGTAGATTCCTCCAACAGCACTTTCTGGACACTGCAAGGTATGAATAGATAACCTCTCAGATACCTTGGTTAATTGTCCACACTAGTTTCTGTGAATTCCTCAACATTTAACTATTAACCCTTTCATTCCCGAGATCTCATTAGTACTTCTCTTAACTGTCTCCTATACAACTCTTAGGATGATAGTTAAGAGAATTTGGTAATGGATACAGATACAGATCTTTATCGAAGCTTCCTGAATGGGTTTTTTAGCATCAATACAAATGGTTAAAAGAAATAAAACTAAAATTGAAGAATATAAAACTATAGTTACAGCTCTCTCTCTCTATAGATATATCAATCAGAAGAATAAAAATAGTGAATAATAAAGTTAACCTTATAGCAGCTTAGTAAACTGACGCTTAAATTTCTTGGAACATTTTAGACACTTAAGATTGCTGCTTAGTGAATTCCACAGTTTTGCTCCTCTATAAGCAAAAGACCTCTGACCAGTTTGAAAGGTGGCAAAGAGGTGTATCCAGGGTACTGGCTGATCAAGTTTGCCTGTTGTGAACACAGAATGTAGCCCAAACTTATTTGCAAGGTAATCTGAGGCAAGATTATGAATGCATTTGAAAATAATAGTTGCATCGTTCAATTAAAGTCTATCTTTATAGAGAGCCAATTAAATGATCTTAGTCCTTCAGAAATATGATAATAATAGATACACTAAGAATCCCCTGGTTGATATATGTCTTAATTCTCATCACTTGTCTACTTGATGCCGTATTGATATTGAGAGGAGAATTCTGTCTTGGTCACTCATAGGAGTTAAAAGAACAAGTTTATCTGCTCTTATACCCCCCGGATACTGTCAAGAGAAGTTACATATAAATAACTTCTGGTAGTTGAAGTCTTTCACATACAGTGCATTGCAACCTCTCCTAATGAGGTCAGCAGACAATTTACGGTTGACAACTACACAAATCAGGATTCTTTTACCTGGATTTCACACAAGTAAACTGGTTCCAATAAATTTGGCTTCCCAGTCAACATGCATGCTAGGAAACAGCGACGAGCTGTAGGAATAATTTGCCCTCCACCACGGTGAATTGCATCTGTGTGAAGAGTGACGTCCTTGATATTAAACCTCACACCGCGGACGTTCTCCTCACAGAGGGGACCTTCCTTGGTAGCCCACTGGAATCCAGCTACCACACTATCCTTGATTTCATTCAGATATTGCACTCCCTTGGTTGTGTCAATCACCATGTTTGGACCAGTTCCCTCGGGTCCAAAGCACCAAATTTTACGTGCCTCTGTGACATCCCAATCAAAGGTATCACTCAAGTAGCGGGCACGGGCTTTTATCTCTTGTCTGGAATGCACATCTCCTTTGTCTATAGCTTCAGCAAGTCCATCAGGGAAAGGTTCAGCTGTCATGAATAAACGATTGTGCTTGTTTGGCGACTTTGAAAGGCACGTTTGACTTGACAACTCTGTAACTGTTTCACGGTACGATACCACTGGCTCTGATTTCTAAAATGCAAACACATAAAAATTTGAAACATAAATAACGATTAAAAAGGTTATCTGCAAAGCACCGTTTACTTTAATACACCGTATCACAACTTAAAAAAGCACAAAAATGATTGAAAAGCTCACCAAAAGGCAGAAAGAGCACAGCTAGGAACAACAGTGGCGTGTACTTCCTTTACATGGAACTATAAAAACGTGAACCCAATTTCCCTAACCTTTTTCCCCTCCCTGTTTCTTACAGATTTTGGATAGGCTGACCGAACCCCTCTCAATTTTTTTTTTTTAAACTCAAGCAGGTAGTACCTTCAAGGGAATACAAGCATGGTCCTCCTCCAAATCCTTCAAACAGATTTCCAAATGTAATTCTCCAGCTCCAGCCACAATGTGTTCACCACTTTCCTCGATTGTACACTGCACCATAGGATCAGACTTAGCCAGTCGTTTGAGACCTTCCACCAACTTCGGCAAATCAGATGGGTTCTTAGCCTCGACAGCAACACGAACCACTGGCGACACTGAGAATTTCATTTGCTGAAAAACAAGAAATTCAATGGCAATTCCGAAGAGATACTTATTTTGGGGGTAGTTGAGAGTGGAACATTATAGCTACCATGGACTGAGGTTCATTTGGCACTGGAGATCAAAGAATTGACTGCCTAAATCTCCATGGCCTGAGTGGCCTTTGATTCACTTGTGAATATTTTTCTCCAGTGACTGTATAGTATTCTAGCACTGCTACATTTCTTAGCCCAGTCACTCCTACAACCTCATTAGTAATTCTCCTTACTGTCTATCCCTAACTAATATTTTTTGTCATTCTTACCACTTGTCTGCTTGATAATATAAGGGAAAATCCTATCTTGACCACTCATGGGGGTCAAAGGGTTCATGTAAACCCTAATGAAACTAGAAAATCCACTGTCTAGAACTTAAGGTTACTCTAAAGCCACCTCTATTGGAGAATTGGAAGGCAATTTTGAATAATTTTTGTCGTTTATGATACTAACCTTCAAATTGTGGGCATGTTCATAGGTCGTAATAGTGCCAGTTTTGACCAAGAACTGATCAACACCAACCAAACCAACAATGTTGCCACAGGGAACATTTTCAATGGCTTCAATATAGCGCCCCATCATCAAAATTGTCCTAACAAGAACAACATTAAAAAGGAAATGAACATAAAAGAACATAAAAGCTCAAGAAGTTTAGAGCTCAAAGGAATAATTAACTGTGACCTACTGAGGAGTTATTGAATAAAGCACTAGAAATAGTAACTATCTTCCCCATTAAACATGTGTTCTGGTTAACTTTTTACAATTTTCATGTACACTGTAAGTGCTACCCTAACTTCCTGTCAAAGAGTTGCAGAATAACCATAGCAGAGTGGTGTTAATAAACTCCTTTCTAAAGTTAAGTGACTGTAAACTACAGTGTATAAGTGACATCCCGAGTTTTGGAACTTACACTTTGGAAAAAAAGTTTTTGTAAAGAAACCACAAGTGAAGTCTTAGAGAGTTCCTTTATTTTGGCTGCTTCATTGCATGTACGTGCAGGTTGAGTCACTAAGATTGAAAACCAAGAATACTTTCTGTTTGCAAACCATACTAACCTATGCAGCTTGTACACCATTTTTTGTGTTATGCATCTATGTAGTTGTGTGGTCTCACACAAATTTATAAATTGGTGATTAAAATGGTCACAGCTTTAAATGCTGAATGGTTTTGCTGAGTAAAAATTTGTAAAAAAAAAAAAGAAAAAAAAGAAAAATAAAAGACCAAAAACAAACTAACAATGACAATCTAATTCTTCCAACACCACCACCAACCTCTGAATGCTTTTGTTGTACAAATCTTCCTTCTTTCCAGGTACATAATTTGGACCCATTATGCGCACTTTCTGTCCTGTTTCAACAATTCCTGAAAACACACGTCCAAAAGCGTAGAAGCGACCTTTGTCTACAGTTGGGACCATCTTGGAGACATACAGACACAGGGGGGCCTGCAAAAATCACACAACCCAGTTTAAGTGAGATAAGAATTTCAATGTGGAGCTTATCAATAGACGTTTTACTAGTTCTGTTTCCTAGAGCTGGTTACATATCTTTCCCTGAACTGTTCAGGTAAATATGCAAAACTAAAGACATTACAGTTGATTGTGTGATACCTAAGCATGCCACAAGTAGTTTCATTAGACTTTAAATCACCATCTGTTTCTAAAAAATGTCTGTATTCAAGTTCCATAGTAATTATTAGCTCTTGCTGAACAAGTAGGATTTGCTTTGGTTTCAGGGTGTTTACTTCCTCAAATAAAAAGAGAGATAATTTGTCCACTTTAAAAGTATTGCTTAAATAGATTTCCAACCACAAAAAAAAAATCTTTTTTATCACTTGCTGACAAAATTGGAGAGTTTTTTGGTGTATGAGCCATCTTATAACCAAAATGCATTTTTAGGAATAACTGTGAATTGGGCTTTGCTGACTGAATGACTGAATTTGGTGAAATCAAAGTTGATTCACTGCCCCATCAGATCTTCCTTTCTTTTTAAATTTCCTTGATGACAATCAGTAGAGTAATGACTTTCAGAAACCCCGATTTAGATTGAGGTTTTGCACACAAAATTTATGCCAAATCTGAGTTGAGATTAAGGCCTTTCATTAGGTACCCCTTTTGCTGTTCATCATGAGAAAATATGCATTCATTTGCTTGGAGCGGAGAATTTGTGTCATTAGAGATCATAAACACAACAAGTTCTATAAGCAAAATAAAATAGAAAAATGAAACTTAATTCCTTAATCAGCATTTCCCTAGCATTATCACCACAACAACTTAAATTCCCTTATATGTGGGAGAAGAGGGAGGTTTCCCAGCAGACTATTCATAGCAATTAAATGTAATTTCAGTATCTGCATACTTGTGGGTCACAGTTCTTAATTCCCAAGGCAACTGGATCATCCTGAGGTCCTTCATAGAGCAACTCCACACGGTACTTCTGAGCTGTGACTGGGGATGGCAGGTGGATGGTGATCATCTGTAGCAAGGCATCACCAGCTGGCAGCCATTTCTGCATGACCTTCTTTAACAATGGTTTACCTTCCAGATCTTTCTCATCACCTGTTAGCTTGACATTCAACTTCTCCAACAGTTTTGCAGTTTCCTCTTTCTTGAAATTCATGATGGCATCAAATACCTTAAAACAAAAACATAAATAGAAAATTAAAAAAGAAAAGAAAAAAATTATCAAAGTTAATTATCAAAAGTTCTAACTCACTAAATTGTGTTTCCTACAGGATCGTTATTCATCTTTGATATGCAAGACAATCATTAGGATAATGTTGAAAACCTATGTTTGAGTACCACTACTTATGCAATTGCAAGTGAATCACAAAAATTGTTCCCTAACTTATTCACTCCAATGAGTGACCAAATTGGAATTCTCCCAACAGTTTCGATACAGTTTAGGCAGAAGGGTGTTGCAAAGAATAAAACATATCAATTAGTGGATATTGTTTGATTTAACACCAAATTCTCAGAGCTCAAATTATATGAATGCATACCAGACAGTAAAGAGAATTGAATTTTTGATCTTGGGAGTAAAAGGGTTAAAAGACCAAAAACTAATGATCTGCACAATTTAAATGCCCCCAAAATGTTTATGCTTGCTATATGTACACAAAATCTGGAATGTAACTCATTGGTTTCATTTCCAGGTTAGCATCAGACATATTAGTTGGTTGTAAATGCTCTTATGATCTATCTTTTGATTTATTCATCACACCATGATTCAATTACTTAAGGAAATGACAACCTTTTTGGCAATTTTCTAGGGAGTGACCTTCTAGACCATCTAGTGGGGGAGAAGCAGAGGCTCCCACAAGATTATCATTCTGTTGAAGAAATTATGCCGTGTTTCTCAAGGAATCAAAGTGTTCTAAGGGCTACTAGTTAAATTGTGCAAGAGTAAAAAAAGTTCACTGCTGGCTGGCTGTCTTTCCCCAAAGATGAACATTAATAGCCTAAGAAACTTAGGTCTCTATCAAAGCACTGAAAGTCATTTCACCTTGTAAATTGGGTCAAGTACAAACTGATTGAACCCACGCACGTAACCATCACCACCAGTCTTATTCCACTTTTTATCTTTTGCACTGAAAAACTGGTCACCCCAAAGACGTTTCATAAACTTTGAGGGCGGTTGCTTGAACTTAGCAGCATATATCTCGGAAAACTGTTTAAGGGTGAAGGCCCAACCATGGAGTCCTGAACCAAAACCAACAGTACCTTTCTCTGGAGAAACCTTCAAGAAAATCAGAAATAAATTAAGTTCAAACGGTTACTTCAATGCAGCTATGAAAAGGATGAATTTACCTTTCCTTTTACATATTTCAGGTAATAAAAATACAATTGGTATTTTGTAAAACATCTTAGAAATTCTATTAGTATAGTCATCCTTGATTCTTTATTATCTAGTTTTATGACTCTTCATTTATAGAGTTTTACTCATGTTTCTACAGAAAATTGAACAAAAGGATTATCCTTATCAGTAGAACATCATTTCAAATGAGATCGAATGTTTTTGCAGAATTATCATGGCGAGATATTTTAAAAACAACCCAAAATACTTAAGGCACCCTCATTGGTAGTTACATGTACTAGTGCCTTGGCTGTTGTCTTTTCCCATAATGCAAGATCAAAGCAGATAATCCATAACAAACCTTCTTCCCCATGTTAGTCTTACCTGTATATTCCCCATAGGACCACTTTCCTCAGGACAATAAGTTGCCACGATGACATTGGTACTCTCCACAATACGTTGGAGAGTTTGGTAAAGATCTTCCATTTCTAGCTGCAGTTCTAGAAGTGCACGGTCCATTTTGTTCATAAAAAGCACAGGCTTGATGCGCTCACCTATGGCCTGCCGCAACACTGTCTCAGTCTGGACACAAACACCTAAGCAGGGACAAGAGAAACTCCTCATAGTTTAAAAATTGAAATGCTACTTATCATTCCTGGTTAAGTGTTATGCTTTTGTTTTCAGCAAAAAGCATTTAACATTTGCCTTGTGTTTGCCTCAACCTAGAAAAACATTTCCAAACATGCTAACAATGAGGATCTGTTTTATCAATCAAGAGCTTTTTGGTTGGTGATCATTTCCTTCACTCTTGAAAGGTTACTGTAAGATTCATGGGAGATGTTATGAGGAGAAATTGGATGTAAGTCACTCTGAAGGTCAAAGCATTAACTCAGTTAACTTCAGTATAAGAAGAGTCCAAGTTCAATAATGCAAGCTAGGATTAAGAGAGAGTTGAAGCAAAAACGAACATCCCAAAAGCTAAGAACTAAGACCTAAAAACTAAGACTTGAAAACCAAGATCCCTTATTTTCTTTACTGATAGTGATAAAGGATGTGATCAAACTCATCTGTCATTGAAATCTTCACAAGATCATAATAAATATAGAAAATAGAGGGGTCTTTGTTTTCTGGTTGCAGGTCCTTGGTTTTAGTTCCCAGGGGTCTTCATTTTGGCTACAACCATTAAGAGACTTAACTAACCCTTTGACCCCTAAGATTGACTGCCATCTACTTTCTCTTTATGGTATCACCTCTGAATCAAACATCAAGGTCATAACAAGAAAGGAATGATAGCTAACCAAAGCTCTTCACTGTTTGCAAATTCTCCTTATTAACATCAGAGGAAATGTGTAGGAAAAAGTGTGGAGAATATGCATACTAATGTTGGGGTGTTAGGGTTAAGATAATGATGTTGGTTGGGTTTTGATTTCCTTCCACAAGGATTCTGAAGTGAAGAGAACTTAAAATTTCATCTTTAATACCTACCACTGACACAGTCCACTACAACAAGAGCACCATCAGTCACACGCAAAGCAGCTGTAACTTCTGATGAAAAATCCACATGTCCTGGTGAGTCAATGAGATTGATCAAGAATCCCTTTCCGTCACTTTCACCTTGGATAAATTCCATATCTGCGTCTGACAGTTCATAGTACATAGAAATGGCCCTAAGTTGGAATAGACATTTGGATCACAAAATTATCACCTAGCACAAAGGCATCACTTTTGTCTTGAGGTATCGCTGGAGGTAGATTGACAGATACCTTTAAGGTATCAGAGATTGAAAAAGAAGCAGAGATAGAGGCTAAATCTCAAGAGAGAAGGAAAATAAAAAATCTGAGACACTCTTTTGGGTTCAGTATATTTCCAACAATCTCCAAATTTCCTCAAAATTAAGCGAATACTAGCTGAGAATAAAGTCTTCAAGGATCAAAACACTTTACCAGAATAAGCAACTTTAAAATTTTAAGGGGCATTGATGTTTGTTTACATAAATGTGTTCCACTTCACACCTGTGAAGGCTGTTACCCAATCACATTGTAATAAGCCATTTGTTTTGCCTGTCAATGCTGATGCATGGTAGAAGGCAAAGAGCCCATACAATTTGTAAGGAGTTATTAGGTTGAGAAGGTTACATGTGACACATGAATATGTAGCCATTTGTGCTGAAACGGAAGGTGCTTCAACCAGCAAAGAGAGGAAGAAAGAGGTCAGGCAGATGGAGGAGAGCTACACTCAAAATGTAACAGTGAAAACTTTGCTCAAAAGCGCTACTTTTAAGTTAAAAAATGATAAAATAATAACCAGGCTTTAAATTACAAATCCCAGTCAAACTTTTTTAGTTCAATATGTGCAGATCACAGTCCAACAAAAAAGTGTTGATTAAAATGCATTGACAAATAAACTTATCTAGAAAAATTTCTCAGCATGAATGACTAAGCTCTCATTCTGTTCTGTTGCACAAATTATGAAAATAAATTATATATCCAAAATCAGTGTTTATTAAGCTTTAAGAAAATGTATACTTTTACAGGATTAGCATGCATAATTTTCACATCATACTCTTAAATGCTTCTTCTTCAGTTATCTGAGTGGTGCAAGTGACATTAAAAATGTTATCTTGTGCTCAACCCTCAAACAGTTTCCACAATTTTCCAGATGTGGCTTGCTTTTTATCCTAACCCCTCTTTAAGTTTGATGTTTCAACATGGACAATTTCCTTTTACAGAAGAGGCCATAACTTTGAAAAAAGACTCAAGTTCTAAGACTTACGTTGACTTGATAGTAATGCAACGCTCTTGTTCATCTTTCCTGGTGTCTGTAAACCTTGTTTCACCAGCTTTTGCGGATGCAATAATTCCAGCTTTGCTGACCAAAGAATCTGTCAAGGTGGACTTTCCATGGTCAACATGAGCAATAACAGACATGTTACGAATGTTGTTCTTTTTGTCCATGATCCCACGGATCTAAAAAGAACAGGTGATATTATTAAAAGGCTACATATTCAGGTCACCAATCAATATCGTCCTTTAAAATGGATCAAACTTTATTGTCCCTGGTGGTCCCTTATTTTCTCCTTATGGTTGATATTAATTGGAAATATAAAAATTACTGCTTATTCTTCTGTCCAGTTGGCAACAACTGAAATATGAAACTATGCAATGGGACAGACCATTTAATAAAAAATGCTCATTCACCTCCAAAGTAAGGGGATTTTGACTAAATTTTGTATCCAGGAGCCAAAATTTACACTAACACAGAATTGATTTTTAACCCCAAGAGTGGTAAGCATCTTATCTCTCCCCTTAGTATCAGCCCCAAAACCAATGTTAAGGTCACTAGAATAAAGGAAATGATAGCAAACTCCATAAGCTCTTGATTGTTGGACACTTCTTTCCCTTGTGCGTACCATGGGAAATGTATAAAGAACAGTGAGGAGAAATTACTGTTCTTTAAGGAGAATTTGTAGTTAAAGTGTAAAGGGTTAAAATCATATGTTCTTCACAATCTTTCCATTGAGGCAAAATTATTAAAGCTGAGCAAAGAAAAAATCTGTCATATTTGAAGTTGCCTTCAGCTCTTATTTTAAAAAAAAATCTTAACCCAAAGATTTCTTTGCACTATACTTATCAGTATTTTGCAACCAAAGCAAAACCAAATAAAATTAGAGCCCATCCAACACAGTGAAATGCCATTTGAGATGCTGTCTGACATAAATGGTAGGATATCCTAGCTTATTAGAGAGAAAGAAGACTACTATGGAGAAAGGATATTTTAATGGCTACTTGATCTATCATTAATCCTTTAACTCCTAATTCTGATTGTTAATTCTCCCCTCTAGATGTTACACATTTCTTTGTAAATTGGTTGTGAGAATTTGTTGTTTGACCTGCATTTTTGTGGTGTGCAAAACTATATCAAGCTTGGATTCCATAATAAAAGAGCCCTTGGAACAGTTTAAGTTAATGGAAGAAGCATTAAAAAGGCAAGCTCTGAGCAAAAATCGCCTGTTGGATATGCTGTTGCACTTGCACAAATTCTCAAGAAAAGAAAAGAAAAGAAAGGAAAAGAAAAAAACCCCAACGCATAATGCATCTGAAAAAGAGTTTTGTTCAACTCTTTCCCCTGGGAAAAGAGACAAAAACCACTTCCAGATTATTTCTATGTGAAATTATCAGACTGTAAACAAATTGTTGTAAATGAAGAAAGTGTGCACACTAAAAAAATTGCATGAAGACGAAACAGGAGTTTTGAGTACAACTGGTTCCTTCTACCACATTCAAGGCAATTTACCATCGACTAAAAAGGGTTTGAAACGATCTTTGGCTCGATTAGACGTCAGTAGTGACGTAATTCACCCATTTCAACCTTTTCTGAACACGATTCGATACTTCCGGTGGTGTGATACCAGAGAGATCGGTCACACTCAGTTAATTATTTGTGCTAAAACTTCATGGTAAATATAATTTTCCCTGCGATCCTTTCCTTTGCCTTGCGATTTTATCAATCTACTAGTTATTAAGTAAATAACCTTCCCGCTTAACGATTCTTATTTATAGAAAAGACAACCGTTAAGGACTTGATAGTTGCATCGCACAAATTTTTCGTTGTATGATTCCACGTTTCACACAAATTCCCTCATTCAAAATACAAAAGATTGAAAACAGTTTTTTGAGGTCCCGACTTACCTGGTCTATCGTGAAGTTCGGCTGAAAAAGGGAAAAGAAAAGAAATTATTAGTTAGCAACAATAACGACTTGGCGAGAGCCAAAGTTTTTATACATCACTCTCAAGGTTAAAAGGCCGGTTAAAAATGGCGACTATATATTCTAACTGGACGCTAAAAACTCTATCGCATTTTAAAGAAATCTTACGAAAGAGGTGTCATTTGACGTTATCGGATACAACACAATACAGATTGAAAACGATGGAACCACGATGGCCACTCACCATGATGGTAGCAGTGTGATTTCTCTGGATTGCAGTAAGGCACTACTGATGCCGTAATGGCGTCCAGAGGTAAAAGGACTGAAGGAGAGAACGTATTGCACAATGACGATGAAATGGCCTCACTCTCATGTGGACGAGGAGAGAATGAGTAGGGAGAGAAGGGCCTTTCTCAAGAAAGGGGCTCAAGAAAGGATGTGCTTTAAAAGGTGGATATTATTAATACACTTATACCTCTAAGCTGAGAAAGGCGAGAAAGTGGGCCCATTTCGAGTTTAGAGCGGAAGTCATAAACCCTGCTCTAAGCTCTCATGTATTTATCCTTCAAGGAAAGGAGTAGTAAACCTGTGCTGCTTAAAAGGACATGTGCCCCGAATAAAAGTGCTTCACACGTCTTGTAGATTCTGCTTTTAATGGCTCGTTACTTTTTAGGGGATGGTAAAGGGCTCTAATTTCCAGGTGGTCTCTAAATGAAAATTTTGAGCTACAGGAGGGGTGCCGATTCGCAGCTGAATGTTGTTGTGGCCGTATTTAGTTATCACACATCAAAGTTTGCCACAATGATTTCTCGGTGCATTTATTACAGTGAGTCAGGAGTGAAAGATTATTTCTGTTTTCGTTTTGTCGTTATACTAACAATACTTAATTTTTACATACCAGTAAGCGGTCGTGGCCTCGTGGGGTCATGGAAGATAATCGCTTCACTGACAAAGGGGCCGATGGGAAGGAAGAGATGAGATTATGGCAAATTTGCAATGGGATCTAAGAAACCATGTGAATAAACAGATTTCGTTATTTTAATAAATAAAATTTGGAACTAATCGGTAGTTAAACAAAGTCTTATTACTCTCAATCACCTTTGTTCATCCGGATCATGAGTTTGTCACGGAACCGTAAGTGCATCGCGTGACATCAAAAGGAGGCTACATCGTCCTATCAGTAGAGAGAAGGAATCAAGTAACTCAAGACAGAACAGTGAGAAAAAAAGTGACAGCAACAGACCTGGGTAAGTGAGGTGGTCTTTCAGGCATCATCTCAGGTTGAGAAGTCCAAGGAGTGACCAAAGACTCAGTCAATTTGAAAGGCCAGAACGACACAAACAAACAAACAAACACACAAATGTTTGTCGTCTTTAAATTCAAATAACTCACTCGACAAATTCTGAGGTTAGTGAGACTGCAACTTTTTCCCACATTTTGGGTGAAGTGATGACGCTGATGGCTTGTTCCAATGTCAAGAGCAGTAAATGGTCGGGCCTTTTTTTTTTTATTAAAAGTTGTCAGTTTGTTTGGTTAAGTTAAGAATCGACAGAATTGCGTATTTTCTACAGAGTGATGAAATCTAATTCTAGGATTGAAAAGTTTACTTCGAACAGCTCGGGCCTAACTACCAGAACATTGGTTACATCACCGAATTTTACAAAATAGCGTCCACTTCTAAACACTCATCAAAGCCTTGAAGTGCCCTATCCCACAACGCTTTGGGACTCTCGTCTCAAAAACAAAACAAAACAAAACAAAAAAAGAAACTATGTGTCCATTATGCTATTATTTTCGAAGTGAAAAGAGGAACCTGCCAGACCATGGCCGTACGCCGAAAGTCAAAAGTGCTTCGTTAAAATACATATATATAAAAAAAACTGTATTGGCTCCATGGTGAAACTTCTCAACCGCTAAACCGTACCCTAATACTTGCGCTGGTAGTTTAAGATCTGCACAGAAACAAATTTTTCTATAATTTTTGACGACAAGATATTCCCCATCCTAATTCTGCTCTCGGCAAATACTTGCAATGTTACTGAATTCACCGGACTGATGACGATTTTGTTTCCATTTTGACACATTTTACCCGTCAGAGCAAATTGCGATCCTTACGAGAGAGAAAAATCATGATGCGGAAAGTATTTCCAACCTGCTTAGACACCTGTCAGGTAACGGATGGTCCTAACTTAGCAAAACTTCCCAGATGCGGTGATTGGTCAGTGAACAGTCAAATACTGGTTCACGGGTCAATAGGTTTTTACGTAAGAATGCCAGATCACCGCATTGCAATGAAATCGTTCGAGAACAAAGGATGATTTACTTTTCGTCTCAGCAGCGTGAAACGATTCTAAATTATCTCGATTGAATCATGGCCCTGTGTGCAATGTGATGGAAGACGGTATCGCTGAGAAAATTTCGAGGAAATCATAAGGCTGGTACGTGAAAAACCTGGGTAAAGTGACATTGGAACATATTTTGTAAGGCGGCCGAGTTAAGGGTGCTGTTCGCTTATCGAAGGCTGTCTGTCATTGTAGAAATCAAAATCGCACGTAGAAATGATCTCTTTTGAAATGATCCGTGAAATTATGTGTGGTTTAATTTTAAGAGAAGCTATGATACACCAAAATTTACTCGAACCCCCTCATATAACTTATAAGGGCTGCATGTGACTGTCTCGACGTAAAATAAATTGAATCGGGATTCCAAAAAGAACAAAAGAGAATTTAGAAGCTGGTACTTGGCGACTGTTGGATCCAGAACTAGTCTCTTTTGCTGGAAAGCTTTTCTAATTTGATCCACACATTAAGATAGGTATGAAAAGCTGAGTTAAAAAAAAAACAGTAGAATCTATCTGTGAGAAGAAGCATTCGCCTTTGAACTCATGGTTGTAATTGTTTTCAAAGCTGATACCAACTAAAGTGGTTTCATGGTGGCGAAATATTTACCGATTTTTTTCTTCTTTTCTCTTGCCCTAGTGTAGAATATTTAAGTGTTGAACATGAATTTCGTCAAAACTTGCAATTTATCTAAAGTTCTCTAAACGGTTAGACCAGTTTTCTTTCTTCTTGAATATTTTGCGTCGCAGCAACAGGTTGTTTAACAGATAGGATGAGAGTCAGTTTGGGTGGCAATAATTCAAAATAACAATTGACTTAAAAGTAAATTCAATTAGGGTCGTTTTCGTTCATTACTGAGGGAAGGAGCAAAGTGTACTCCCCTCTTAGTCCGTTTTTCTTTCGATTGATTTTGGTAATAAATGTCAAGTTTATATCGCTTTTAATTACTTCTTAAATAATAATAGCGGACGTTTTCCATCTGTTCTGGTAACCTCTGTCAGTTGTATAAGAATCAATATCGATTATAATTGCGCAATTGTATCAGAAAGAGACCGCGAAATTTCCACGAGTGATCATGGTGACATATCATCTAATATAGCTTTCCTTATGAATTTGGATTCATATAATGACGAACGTGAAAAAATTGTGTCTTAAATGTGTGATTCGAAGGTGATATTGTAAGAAGAAATTAGATGCCAGTCACTGTTGGGTGCAAAAGGGTTAAGGATCGATCAGTGGTTAGATCAAAGGTAGGTTTTAGACTACTAGAAATAGGTGAGCCATTCAGTGAGATCACTCAAGCGCATTATTTCATTGTATGAAGTTTAACTTGGTAACAACTGTTGCTGTGAATAGACCACTACCAACGAAAGGGTAACATGTTAACATCTTGACCCGGAGTGCTCATTAAAGCCAACCACTTAAGTCATTGACTTGCGGCTTATATAAGCGACTGAGATCTTTTTTAGAGAAAGATAGGGCAGAGTGAAACTATGGTTTTAATTTCGACTCAGTTATATTTCCTTCGAGGTTGAATTTGGAAGGTTGAGTACTTTCAGGGCCCAAATTAAGTTTCGTCTTTTCTTCAGATCATCTGATTGGCCAGAAGTAATTATTTGTATGAACCAAAAGAAACTATTCGAACTTTATTTCCTCTTGATAGGTACAAAGATTCCCTCAAACCCTTTACAATTTCCTCGACAAGATTCTTCGTGAAGCCATCAACATCAGCAAATTTTTATTTCCAGAAAAGTTTACTAATTGAAAAGTGTCCCTCTTCAAAAACCTGTATACGTCATCAGTCTTTAAAGAGGATGACTCAAAAAGGAAAAATTTGCTATGTCTTTTCATCCACACTGCCAAAGACAGTAAAGCTGGAAAGCGCGCCATTGGTAAACCTGTCGAGGAAAGTGTATCCGCTGCCAAAAACAATATCTATTTCAGCTAAGGAATCGGACATTATTTATCGCCAGAGGGGTGGGGCGGAGGATTTTGATTTTGTCACGATGAAATTTACAGATCCCCCCATAAGGCTTTAAAATATTCCTATAATGCCCCCTTATTGGCAGTTAATCGGCAGTCAATTTTCTTCAGTCCCTCTCTATACTCTGTTGGGAACGACTGACCCCCTCCCCCTCAGTTCTCCCTGAAAAGTATGTGAATGTGATCCAACCCCCCCCCCCTAAAAAAAATCCTTCATCTCCCTCCACGGCGATAAATAATGACGGGTCCCTAAAAATTCAATTGAAAGTGAATCGAAATTTTCAAACCCTGACTGCCCCTCTCTGTCGTCCCTCTTTAACTCATTAGGATTTCTTTTTCCTGTTAGGTTTCAAGTTTAAAAAGACACCATGACTTCCGCTGTTAGGGTTATCGAACAGATCAACGAGCAGCTGATGTGCGCCATTTGCTTGGATCGCCTGACTGCTCCGGTGTTCCTAAAATGCCTGCACACGTTCTGTTCACAATGTTTGCATAGAATCGTCAATAATCACCCGTCATCCTCGATTACCTGCCCCACATGCCGCGCAGAGACCCCGATCCCGGACAAAGGAGTCGATATGCTAATGCCAAACTTTTTTGTGAATCAAATGCTGGATCTGGTTCACTTGAAATCGGAAGAGCTGAAGAAAGAAATACGCGAGGAGAATAAATGCCAAGCCTGTGAAAACGAGAAAACAGCGGACTTGGCCACTTCACGATGCGTGGACTGCAAGAAGGACTTGTGCACGAGTTGCGTGGCAGAGCACAAGCGGGCCCATTCCACACTCGACCATAGGATAATTGCCACAATCGAAGATGAAGGTCAGCAGGAGAGTCAAGAACTGGATAGATATAGCCTATCGTTTTGCAAGTACCATACTAGGAATGTCATCAAGTATTTTTGCAACACGTGCGATGAAGCCATTTGTCGTGTTTGCACAATTCTAGAGCACCGAGAGCACCAGTACGTCTACCCTAAGGAGGCTTTACCAGCCAGAAGGGGCGCCATCGCAGAGCAGCTAGAACAAGCTAAGATACGCATACCTGAATTGAAGAAAACGCTGTCCGGAGTGCAAGAAATGTCAAAAAGGCTTACGGAGTGTAGAGAAGCAATTGCAAAGGAAATCAGTGAGAACGTGCAGGCACGAATTGAAGCACTACGTGAGGGTCAAAACGAGCTCCTGAAGCACCTGGATCAAATTCATGACGGGAAACAGAAAGTGTTGGGCTTGCAAAAGGACAGTATTGAGTTGGAACTGGGAAAGCTTGCAGGCTGTTGCGAGTTTGCTGACAACGTCTTAAAGTTCGGCAACGAAGTGGAGGTTCTGCAGATGAAAGGGCGCTTAGAATCCTTGAATGGTGTAAAGATTCAGTTCGAGCCCGAAGAAGATGACACAATTCAATATGTTCACGATCCAGCCACAAAGAAGACTGTGTCGGAGTCACTCGGGAGCATTCGGGCAAGTAGCACTTTTGCCTCGATCTCATACGCTAGTGGAGATGGGATCCATACTGCGCGTGTCAAAATGGAGACAACTTTCCGGCTGACCACCAAGGATCGACATGGCAAAAGGTGTAAAGGAGGAGACAGGGTCACAGTGGACATAAGCCAACCCGATGGGATACCTCTGTCGTCAACGATCAGGGATGAAGGTAATTGGGTGAAAACAATTGTCTTTCAAAAGTCGTAAAAATACAACCAAGGTAACTATAATTGCCAATCAGGAAATGGAAAATTAACGCAAGGATCTGAGACAAACTCAGTGAAAACATTTAAAAGTCCTTAAGCGCGGAAAAACAAGAGCGACCCAGTTGTTGGTAGTTTTAGTTTTGCATCTCATTGCTCAAACAGTTAACACGAAATTTTCCAGAAAACCGCGGAACGTAGTGAATCAAAACCAATGCAATCAAGAATGGCTTTAGACATTTCATTGAGAATTATTGTCTCTGGTGGTTCAGTTTGTAAATGTTTCCTTTCAAGCTAGAGTTGTAAATTCGATTCCCGGGTTGATACACGCGCATGCGATAAACACCAAACCAAATAGGATCTTTTCTTTCTTTATTCCTTTTCCTATTCCTCGGGGCGTTATTAAATCGAAGCGGTCAACTGAAATTATTACGTAAAGAAATTACCTAAGTATTATGATTATAGCTTAAGAATAATCTCGATTTTGGAAACGAGCACGTGGCAATTAAAGGGATCAAAGGAAAGGTAAAAAACGAGCGATAAATTTTACTTTGTGTAACGATTACGAGCTAGATAACATAATCGCAAAACTAGTTATTGCTTACCAACGTTCGCGGGTCTTGATTACTTTATCGAGGATTACAGTCTAACTTGTCTTCTATTCAAAACGATCTTGATCACACGGGGTCTTATCTTGAACTGAAACGCTTTCTATAATTTTTTGCCTAAAGAGAACTAATCACGGGGGCGTCAACCTAACCAAAAAATATTTCCCAGCTTTTCTCTGAAGCGGTAACACTTAGCTTCAAAGGAAGCAGTTAGACAGTTTTGATAAGGTATTAGAAATAATCCTGATTGCTGTTACTTTCTTTGAAACCACGTTCTTTGATTCGCTTTGAACTCTTGCTGGCTCCTTAACCTTTTACACCCTAAAGCACAATCTTCATACTGTTCTCCATCCATTTTTTACATGCTGAAGAGGACAATTTGTTTAACAATTAAGAGCCTCTTTCGTTACTGATCATTTCCTGAGACTAAGGGGCGATATTGAGGGATAAATTAGATGAGACTGAAGGGGGGTTAATCGATCAAATAGGACCAATCAGGAACGTTTCTAAAGCCCTGCGTCAATCGCTCTGACGAAGGGCTAAGCCCTTCGTCAATCGCTCTGACGAAGGGCTAACGCTCGAAACGTCAGCTTTTTTACCCTTTACGTTGGCTAATTTACGTTTTCAACTCAGTTGTTAACGCTAGATTACCAATCAGGAACTGATCGCTTGTGGTTTCTCGGAGTTAAGACCGCTTGTAAGTTCTGCACATTGGCTTTGAGTATTCCCTAACGCATCTATCTTATCTCATCTTATTGAGGTTACTTTGATCTTAACCAACAACAGTCAGCCGAAAGACACAGTTTACCTCAAAGCTTTTTCACTTGTAAACTCTATACGGAAGTGTAATTTCACAACCACTTCCTTGTTAGACTAATCGAGTTATTAATCGTTTCTGTTACAGGAGATGGCACCTACACTGTGACTTACATGCCAGAAGTGAATGGTAAACATGAAGTCTCTGTCGCTATTCAGGACAAGCCGATCATGGGAAGCCCCTTCACTGTGCTTGTTGTCAACCGCCGAGAATATGCCGACGTTGGCCCGACACTTCATCGATTTGGACAGTATGGCAGCAAAAAGCGCGAGTTTAAATCCCCTTTCGGCGTGGCGGTTGACAACGAGAGCTACATCTATGTAGCCGATAGCTATAATCACCGGATACAAATATTCGGTCCACGGGGAGAATTCGTTTCACAGTTTGGTTCTCATGGGGAACGCAAAGGAGAGTTTAACTGCCCGACGGACGTCGCTCTGGATAGTAAGGGAAGAATCATTGTCTGTGATAATGGCAACAATAGAATCCAGGTCCTTAGTCGGAATGGCGCATTTATCGGAAAATTTGGCCGTGAGGGTACGGGAAACGGTTACTTTAAATCCCCCTGGGGGGTTGCGACCTCCCGAAAGAATGATATCCTAGTTGCTGACATGGAGAATCACCGGGTGCAAGTTTTCTCTTCCGACGGGAAATTCTTGACAAAAATTGGCTGTTTTGGCGATCGCGCAGGGCAGTTTAACTCTCCGTGTTACCTCCTTGTCAATCCGGAAGATGACCATATATTCGTTTCTGACTCCAAAAATCATCGCATCCAAGAGTTCGACAAAAATGGGAAGGTTCTCCGCCAAATTGGATCCCAAGGAACTGGAGAGGGGCAGTTTTCACATCCCCGTGGGTTAGCCATCGATATCGCCGGTAATCTCGTGATAGCTGACATGGGAAATCATCGTTTGCAGATATTGGCTGCGAACGGTAAGTTTGTAAAGGAGGCTGGCTCCGAGGGTAGCGGAGACGGACAGTTGTCTTTTCCAGAGAGCGTTGCGATAATGCCAAATAGCGGATACATTGTTGTGTCAGATCTTAGCAATAACCGCATTCAAGTGTTTTAAACAAGAAACTTCATATTAACGTAATAAACTCTAAGCTGTGCGGAGAATGGCTCGTATATTCAACTTTACGGCTCAACTGTAAGGGAACGTTATTTTTTTTTTCCCAAGAAAAACATAAGGTGCTACCAACGCTTCCTTCCTATTAGATGAAAATCGGGAAATGATTAGATTCATCGTTTCCCTTTTTGCTGTGATCATATATGATGTGATGTGATTCTACGCGGTAAACGTTCAAGAATAGATTCAAGAATGAATTATTTCACAATTGAAAAAAACAAAGAAAATAAAACAAATCAGTTTAAAAAATGTGTAAAGAAATGAACCCTAAAACTATAAGTAAGTTAAAAGTGATCCTTTTGTGTATATGATATATGTTATTTATTTATGAATACAAAGCGCTTTCGATTGAGTGTCACAATACAAAACTAAAGTAATCCTAGTTAGTAAATGAGAAGTCAGAGCAAAACCAGGCAAAAGGGAAATTCGAGTAACCAAATTACGATAATTATTATAAGTGTTGTATGAGATTGGCTGCAAAGTTATCTAATGAGAAGTTGGTTAATAAGTTATTAAATAAAAATATGGGTAAATTAATAGATATATGTAATTTTAACTGCTTCTCTGATCTTCATATCTATTTACGTGTAGTTCGATTTCTTTTTGGTATGGTTAACTGAGTTCAATACTTACTATTATACGAATATCTCATTGTTGTTTATTAAAAGTTTTATTGCAAGTAATGTATCGTTACTAAATTAAATTCTGTGTTCCAAAAATTTTATTACAAAATGTTGTAAAAAAAATAAATAAATAAAAAAAGTTAGTGTACAATTAAAATTTAGCACATTTAGATGACACTTCATATAGAAAGTGAAATTAACATCATCTTGATAGTCTGACCGAACAATATCATCAATATTATACTCACATTTTGTATGCAGAGTTTATTTTGTTAAGACTATTTACATGACAGTTAAAGTTAAGTAAAATATATTTAAAATTCCAGATGTGAATTGAATCACCTAAATTGTAGTTACTGACAAATAATTTGGGTTATCTGGCACCAAACTTGTAATTATGATCTCTATCAGTAAGTTGAATTACCAATCTTTCTAGTATAGACAAGACATATACTGATCAGGTGTAACCCAGCAAGTATGTATACTCTATATTAGCTAATAAGTGTAGAGGATCAATAAAGACATCACTTCCAACGAAAAATTTATTCAGTCTTGCTCTCTCTCTAACTCGTATGCGTGATTGGCACGTCAACCTCTCGTTTTCCTAGATTGATTGTTCTTTTCAGTATCTCGATGTGCTACCTTTACCTAGAATTTTGATGTTATTAACATTGTAGGTCTCACAACTGTTCAAAGCTGGGTTTTCTTTGTCCTTCAAGTGCACGTACACTGTCAAACGTAACAAAATTGGAATACTTCTCTAAGTCTACGTTCTTTCGCCTCACTCTCCCTTCCAGTGTTGTCAATTGCCAACGTGTCTGTGCCATCCTACAGACCAACATGGAGAGGGGCAGAGCGGGGGGAGGGGCACTTAGTGTCCCAACAAATTTGTCCGTCAAATGTTCCTTCACTTGACGACTTGACATTTCATTACCTCGGGATGGTGACGTCAGTTTACGCGTCTCAGTCATAAGGCCCAATGTCTACATACTTGAGATAAAATACTTACTTATTTTTATTCTGATTCCATGTCATAGGCGAACGGACCGAGAGGTGTCCCGGTCTGCTAATTTTCTGAGGGTTATAAATGTTGTTAAGTGTGGTTAGGGGATTGACGGTATGCAAAGCGCGACGGGCTCGATACCTCGTCGTTGGATTTGAGCTGTCTTTGACTCGTGCTCGCAGCTTCCAATTTGGAATTTAAATGATTCAGAGCACCATGTGGTCGTAAAATAAAAAAATTTGACACAAAAACATATCTAACTTCTGAAATGTATACAAAAGTTTCGAGATAAAAGCCATTTTCAGACCACTGAGCCACCTTAAGTGTTGCGGGATAAACACACCTCAAAATCTCGAAGGAGTTTCACGAACATTTCATGCCACAAGGGGACCGACCTCTCGGAAGGCTTGGAACTGAGAGCGTGGGATTAACCCTAACACTATATTACCTTTCGAAAGTAAAACAACCAAACTTGAAAAATTTTTCAAATCTTGCTTTTTTATATCAATCAAAACAAATCCAGAATCGTTACAATGATTTCATAACTTCGTTCTACTGACACATGAACTCTTCAGCGTACAAACATCCAATATGGATAACTCAAGATAGAATCAATCCCAAAAGGAAAACGATGTGCATTTCTTAGAAAGAAATATCATTCCGTATGAGCGGCTAGAGTGGGGTCACATTAAAGTGTCAATAGTGTGGAATATTTCTTTTTCTCTGTTCCAGAGAAATTTATTTAGAGATCATTAAATTATTGTATGACTACGACTACGAGTTCAAGACGGCGGGACACAACAGTGGCCGTCAACAGTAAAAGGAGAGTTTTTGCGAAAATTAAAAACCTTAAAAACAAGATAACCAATACAGGAACCAGAAATATTCAATTTAGTGTCGAAGTAATCAAGGATTACATTAGTTTTACTTGTGTACGCTCTGTGATTGGTCCAGAAACTTTGCGCCACAATCTGAACCAATCAGATCTAAAATCAAAACCAAATCAATCGCGATTTCGTAACTCGCGTTTTCCCGCGCTTTGAGCAGCCTGCTTCATTTTACTTTAATTCTCATTGGCTCATAACGAATAGAAGAGTAAATTCCCCTAATATTTCGCTTTTAGCTCGAGTATTAATCTCAGGGTCGTAGTCACACTCGTCCGTGGAGCTAAAGGTCTCGTTTAATTCATCTTATGAATATTATTTCCCTCTTGCACTGTACATTCGCAGTTACAATGTTCGGCAAATATTGCCCTCACAAAGCGCCTTTGAGGCGATGGAAGAAGAAACAAACTGAGACGATGATTTGCCTATTACACGTACATGTAGTTGAGGCCAAACGAATTGATTGTGCAGGCGCTTTTAACTGTCTGAGTAAATAACTCGCGGGACAATCTTGCCCCGTTTGCAGTTGCCACGCCAGGATCAATGAACGTCTAAAACGATTGCTACTCGCCATTAAGGTGTGTGTGCGCGAGAGCCTTTAGGCGGTAAATGGCCCCAGTTGGATGCAGGCGAGAATGGAAATGGATTCTATTCTGTCAAATTCAGACTTTTCTCTGCATCGCTGAAAAACATAAACCAAAAAACAATGTGAAGAAAAAGCTTAAATCGTGGTAGGCTGTACAGCCCTTCATAACATAGCTCACAAGAGAGTTTTTTTCTTGTAAATTCATTAACAACGAAAGAGAGACGTTTTCAAGTCCAGCATAATCGGAATCTGTTTGCGTATTCTGGTAGGCAGAAGTGACTATGAAAGGCGGGAACTACTACGAAATGATAGAAATTGAGCAAGATAGGTAAAGTACTTTTTTAGCACACGAATCCCATTTTCCCGCGCTTTGAACTAAGGTGCATATGTAATCCACGTTGTTAATGGTTATTTGGACCTTACGTTCTCATTTGGCGTTGGGACTACAATAGTTTTGGTACCACGATTCTTAAGAGCTCTATCGTCTCTCGCACTTACTTTGGAAATCCGAGGCGTGACACGATCTCTCGCACATTTCTTATGAGTCCCTCATTTTCTTGCGGCGAGTCCAGTATAACTGAATACAATCTGGTCATATATGAGTCAATAGTATCTAATGTAGGAACCTCGTTGGTGCCAGGAAGTACCAAGTTCGCAAATGCTTGCACAAGGGCTGTACGAAGATTGCTCAGATGATTGAGTAACACCATGTTGGCATTTCGTTGTTGATTTGTCTCCATTTCTATTTTTTCTATCGCTTGTTTTAAGCTCTCCACGTGTTTGGAGGTGAGTGAATTCTGTTCTTCAAATTCGGTGGCCGCTTTGCGAAGCTGTCTCAGTTCGTCTTCACGCACTGAAAGAATGAGGTTGAGGAGAGTTCACAAAGCATTCGAATGATGAAGATTACATTTACTGTACCATGAAGAATGGGGATCAATATCAGTATCTGGGCAACTGCCCACCTACCCCTCCCCTAACCCAACAACAGTCTATTGATAACAAGTTAGGGTTAATGTTAGGTTAGGGGAGGGGTAGGTGGGCAGTTGCCCAGATACTGATATTGATCCAAGAATGACTCAACCCTTTAACTCCTAACATCTGATTGTTAATTCTCCCCTGTAGCTACTACACATTTCCTTGTAAATTAGTCACAAGAATTTAGTGTTAGATCAGGATAACAGTTTCTACCTTATAAGATTGAGTATTTTCATTACCTGTTTGCTGGATAATGTATGCACAATGTTGGGAGAAGTTACATGTTAATCACTTCTGGGAGTTAAAGGGCTAATACGTTCGCTTACACGCTGTAATTTTGTATCTGGAAGCAATGGTCTCATGGTTAAACCTTTACAATCTAACATCAGTATGCACATTCTCCATAATGTTCTCTATACATTTCCTGAAGCAATACGTTGGTGATCATTTCCTCAAATCTTATGACCTAATGTTTAATTCAGGGGTGATAATGTAAGGAGAAATTAGACGCTGGTCACTCTTGGGGTTAAAGGGTTAACGTAGGAACGTCAGGATTGTGAGGTTTGGGTTCAGGTTCACACAGTGTTCAGGTCATTGTGTCGAGTCATTGCGTTGTGTTCTTGGGAAAGACACTTACATCCTCAAAGTGGGCATAAATGGATACCAATGAACCATAAGCGACATTTGAAGAAATACAAGGAGAGAGATCGCGATGGGTTACCATTCCCTCTTAAGGGAAGTAGTAATACTTATGGTCGCCTTATACTCCAAAACCGTGAAAGATCCGGTGATACTGGAAAGGATTCAATAATTTTTGATGGGGCATGGGGAGGAGGGAGGGGGGGTTCAAAATTACTTCTCCATGAACCCACGCTCCCCCCCTCCTTTCTTAATCTGTGGTTACACAAATACAAATCTACCCGCTGAGTGTTAACATGCGATCCTGTCATTGCAAATCTTGATGTCAGACAAGCAGTGAAAACCCTCACAAGTCAAATGGGGGAGGGGAGGGGAGGGGGGAGTTTGGACACCCCGGATCCTCAGTCTGGATCCGCTTTTGGTGACCCACTTGGCTTTAGCTCTACCATATGTTGTACATACTTTCATTGTGTTTAAGGAACTCTTCCGTGAACACGGGAGCGTTAAATCCAGGTAATTCCTCCTCTTCTTCACTTTCGTTTAACTTTCCAGACACTGTCAGTTTGTGCTTACGACCAAGAATGTGTTCTCTCTTGTTGTGAAGGTTGTTAAAGTACTGATTACAGGGTTTGCAGTAAAGATCGTCTTCTGCACAAAGCTATAACGAAGAATAAATAGAACAGGCAATCCATTCTCTGTATTTCGTAATACTGTGTTACGAAACTGCCGTACAGACGTGAAATGAGAGTATTTGAAGTCGCCGTGTAACCTTGATTGTTCTAGTTCGATACACAAGACGTTAAACTTTAGTCTAGTAAAGTTTAGTCTAGTTAGTCTAGAGTCTTTAGTCTAAAGAGTCTTAGTCTAAAGAGTCTTTAGTCTAGTTTAAAGTTTAGTCTAGTAAAACGTTAGTCTAGTAAATGAAATTGCGGCTCTTTTCGATAAATTTTCCAAGGAAAAAAAATTGGTGAAATGACAATTTATTTTTCTGATTCACTTGCTGTTTTTACGAAGTCCTAACGCCCAACATGATAGGAACACATTAAAAAAGGCAACGGAAAAAGTCACACAGAGAAAGAAAATATTTTTTTTGTTACTGCAGTAATTTATTTTTTTCCCGAACATAGGCCACTAGAAACGAGGAACATGTCTTCGACTTACTTCAATTCCATTTGATAAGCCATCTAGACTGTCAGAGTTCTCTAGATCTGTAAGAAAACCAATACGTAATGAAATGTCGAGCTGTTGCCCATACTAACTGGATGCGACAGAATGTTATTGATATCGTATTCAGTTGAGTAGGATGCTCTGTATTCAGCCTAACGTTGTCTGAGGAAATCGAGATCAGAGCAACGGAGCACTGAAAAGAGCGTGAACTGAAACGAGAAAAACGTGCCACGACATCAAAGAAACAATACACTTACTTTTTCTTTTCCGTTCCGCTTGCTTCTTCAAAAAGTTCTTATAAGCATCTGTTTTTTGGTATGCTTCTAATTCCATCATGTATCTTTCTTTATCTTTCTCTGCTTCATCTAAATATCGCTGGAAATGGAAAAAAATCTGGCTGCAGTAGACACAAAGTTAATCTAAATGTTTGCATTTGAGCTCTGAAATACAATAGAAAGACCTGGTTGGGGTTTAAAGCAAGGCCTTTTGTAGAATAGTTTGGTACATTTACCATTGGCCACTGGTAGTAATCGAGAACAAACTGCCAAGGGGGGTTTGAGCCTGAATATAGGCTGCAAAGGTGCAGGTTATTGTCTCTATTATAGGGCTCAGCTGGCTAAGAATGGAGTAAAAGCAACAGCTTTCCACAGGTTTGGGAGCAGGAGGTACCATGGCCAAAATAAGTGACAACAGGTTACAGCAAACAAGCATGTTAACAAAGTAGTGGAGTGTTATCATGGTTACATAAACCCTTTTTAGAAGACAAAAAAGGGGTGGCAGCAGTCTGTTTCTCAGGAAATATTTTGTTGTTGAACCAAGAAGGTTAAGATGAAGGCAGTGGTTGTTAGACATTAAATTCTAAATATTTTTAAGAGAAGTGTAAAAAAATGTTAACAAGAGGTAGTTGGGTGAGTGAAGCCAAAAAACTTCTTGTGTGAAGGAAGCAAATGTGCATATTAAATAGTTTGGTATACTAATAGTTGAAATGTGAAAGTCATAATGATTAAAAAATAATATATTTTGGGTTCCCTTTCCTTTCTTCATCATCCTGAAACAAAGGAAATACAAACTTTAGTGTATAATTTGGAGCCATATCAGAATCTAGTAAATATGTCTGAACAAACATACTTGTTTTTCTTCTGTAGACAGTTTACTCCACTGAGCACCAAGTAGTTTTGTAACTTCTGGGAAATTTAAATCAGGGCGCTCCGCTCGGACCTTTTCTCGCTGTTCATTAAGGAACCTCACATATCCAGTTAAGGGTGCCTTTGGTGCATTGCTGTCTCGGAATGTTTTACGACGTTTCTTTCCCTTTGGCCAGCCTCCTTTCTTTTTCTGAACATACATGTACTGTATGAAACAATAACAACAACCAATTAATGGCCAAGTTTGACCATGACACTAAAAAAGTCTACAAACCTGTCTGCAGAGTCCTAAAAAAAGAGACCTTTCCCCTTCCCCTGGTCATTGTTGCTTTAAAAAAAAAAAATTGATATTTTGATATTTCAAAATTCAGCAAAGATTATAGACTTCAACAGGAGGCTATGGAAAATAAACAGGAAAGTCAAGGTCTATTCCTCATGAACCTTGTATCAATGTCTGTTTTTTTAATGCTGAATTTTAAAATATTGAAATTAGGCAGTAGATGTGCTGAATATTTACAATACAACAATACAATTTTTATGGGCCATTCATAGAGAGATAGGTGCTTAACATCCTCAAATGAGTAAGTTTATAATCCTTGTTAAAAAAAAAAAAAAAATCTTAAAAAAATTCATGGATATTACTAAGAGATAACAGAAAAAGGTCTAAAATTATCTCAATCACAATCATATGAACACATTAGGTTGCTGGTCCCACAAAATTTGTTGGCTATAAAAAAGAGCGATTGTGCTTTTAATAATAGTAATACACTATAGTTGAGATGCAAAGCCTCACCAATTATGTGAAAAAAAAAAATTGGGACTTTAAAGCTATGTCCCAGGTGTTTTTGGAAACATTTTCTGGATAAAACATAATCAAGGTAAACTTTTTATGTCCAAGAAATGCGAAGCAGGGAATGTATTAACCCTTTCACTCTCAAGATCAAATTAGTAATTCTCCTTACTATCTGCCATACAATTCTTATGATGTTAGTTCAGAGAATTTGGTATTGGATCAAATAATAATCCCATGATTGATATTCTTCTCTCTTCTCATCACCTGCCTGCTTGATATTGTATTGATATTGTAAGGAGAAATTCTGTCTTGGTCACGTTTAGGAGTGAAAGGGTTAAAAGATATCTCACCTCTGGTTTCTCCACATCTCCATGGGAGTTGGACACAGCTGTTGTGGTCTGAGTCTCCTGACAAACAGTTTCCTCTGCTGAGCCCCCTTCACTTTCTCCACCACTCAAAATCTCCACTAAGAACAAACAGTTTACATAAATATTACTTTTATGAGTATAATATGTGTACATATCAATTGGCTAAAACATGGTTTATATCAGAACCAACACAGAGATACCAGCTGCTCTATATTAGGGCTGCTGAAGACTTTACCAGATTTGGGGATTCTGTAATGAACACTGCCTACTTATTGATCACCTAACACACTGTAGGTCACCAAAATTTGTGACGTGTGTCTTGACATATGCTGCAAAGTCAGGAATCCAGATTTCTCTCTACTTGTTATGGTGACCAAAATGGTCGCAGCTTTGAGTGCTGAGGAAAAGCACTATTCACCTGTGTGGTATATTCTTATAACATATGCTGGCCAGGCTAATTTTATTCAATGTATACCTTGACTGAGGTCAGATACAAAATCTGCTTCAGATGTTGGTAAAGTTTGACTCCCTTGAGATGCATGATAACCGGTGACTCCATTGTGAGTCGTGGCTGTAAAATGTAGACTGAGGACGCGACAATAGGAAGCATTCCTTTACAGAACTACTCTGTGACAAAAGAACTAGATGCCATATTTGATGTAGGAATCACTGACAAAATTGTAGTAAATTATAAATTAATTAACAAAGATTAAATGAAAATTATCAGCGATGTTAATGATGGGCTATACAACCTGTTGACTCCTAACATTGACAAGCATCTGATTTCATTATACAATCCTACCCCTGGATTACTAATTCAAGTCACAAGAATAAAGCTAATAATCAGCAATTAAGGAAGTTTTTGATTGTTAAACAAATTCTCCCTATCAGCACCCTAGGAAATGTCTAAAGAATAATATAGAGAATATGCATTCTGATGTGGGGTGTAAAGAAATAAAGGAGTGGGAAGTATTTCCAAACAATTTTGGCCTTTATTCTTTCTAATGACAAAATACTTGTGTACTCTTTTTCAAGCTGACTGAGAATTTCAAACAATGTTTTTTTCATGGATAGTTTTACAAGAGAACAGTTATATGTATGTTATATTTAACAATTGGTTCATAAGTCAGCGTGTGTTCATCAAGTTATGAAGCAAGCGGGAAGTTTGGAGAGCCCGAAAGATGTGTAAGAGTTGCTTGAGGTGTAGCTGAGAGCAACTCTAGCTTCTTGAGTGCTCTCCAAACTCCCAAGTGCTTCATATCTTGATGAACCCACAGCTGACGTATGAACCAATTGTTTTATAACATTTTCAACCCAATGGAAAATTTGTTTTTCTTGAGGGATTTGTTTGCTGATGTCATGAGCGTGCACAATAGGAATATGTAGCACGCTCGTGCAATTGAATTTGATTACACAAATTTACTAACTATGTTATAAAAATCAATTTTGGTGATTTATTGATATTCAGGGACAAAAAAGGCAACATTGCAGTTCTTGAATGTTTTGAAAAAGTTATAAATAACAGATGAGATTCAAGTAAGCAACTTTCGTGATTTTACAGGATAGGACAACCCTCTAAAATTTGTATCTCTTCGAACATGAGGCTTATCAGCTCAGTTGGTAGTAGCAACCAACTAGTACCTGTGAGGCATGGGTTTGAATCCCATCAAAGACTGAAGGTTTTCAGACTCTATTCTTCAGTTGCTTAGTTTACAGCACACCTGCAAGAATTGTTACTTTACTTGATTTTCATCCACAGGTCAATTAAAACTTATCTCAGTTAAAATCTTCAACTTTAAGCCTACTTAATAATACAGATGAATGAAAACAGAATCTGAAAATTAGCCACATGACAATGAAATGCAGTAGCTTGATTGCCCAGGAATTATAGAATTATGTCAATTGATTGCCCAATGATGTCTTTGTTTTCCTCAGCCGCCATTGAACAAAAACAATTAGTCACAGAGGACCTCTGTTTTGGTTGTAAAGACTGTGCTTAAGTTAGAAATCGTGAGCTTCCTTTATCACTGGCTCCGGTAGTTCAAAGGGTGGATAGTGCTATCCTCTAGATAAATCACTATCTGGTGGATAACACAGTACATTTTATCCACACTTTTCTGCCGAATAGCAATTCATCTGCTGTTGGAGAGTGTTATCCGCTTTTTAAACAACTGATTCCAGGTGTATAATACTGTGATGTAAATGATTATTTTAAAACATCTTCTTATATTCGTAATGTTCCCTTAGGCAAAAATAAAAAAAATTGCTATCTAATCTTAGGAGTTGACAAGTTTAATTTAAAATCTTGTTTGATACCGACCTGCCGTCTTCCCCAACAGTCGCTACAGCTAATTCGTTGGAATCACCCACGTGTTTCACGTCCACAGGATCAAAACTGGAAAGAGTAAAGCCGGGTAAGGATGTTACAGTTGTGGTCCCATCAAGTGTTGGAGTAAGAACCGCCAAGCCAGTCGACCCTGGTACCGAGGTTACAGAAAAGGTTGCAAGAGAGGTGCTGGATATAGCCTGTGAGTCCAAAACCTGTGCTAGCGCGGTGGCTGTCGCGCAACTCGTTCCGTTTACAAGCGAAGAGTCAGCGTGCAATGTCGGATTTTCCTCAAGGTCCATGGCTGAAGCTGTAAGAAACACGCGACCTCTTTTTCTACAGGAAGTGAGTTTCTCGTTTATTTGTTTTTGACGGAAGTGATTGTCTGGACGTTTTTTTAGAGGGGGGTACGGTGTTTCTTCTTTGGGCTCAATTCCACTAAAATGGCGGTCAAGCCTCAATAATCCGAACCACCCTCGAAGGCAAAAGGTAGAAGTATCAAATTCCCGGATAAAGAACCCTTAATACTTATATGAAGGTCAAGAGCCTTTGATAGATAACCGCTGATCATTTCTAAACGAGCGACGGTGCAAGACAGCAAAACTTGAACCCGGGAAATTCAAAGTGGACCTCTGTGGATTTATTCAAACAGTAACTTTTGCGACTCAGCTCACCACTTTGCACAAGGTAAGCTCTCAAACAAATTTTTTCAGAAAACATTGTTATTCCCATCAGAAAGGCTTACGATATCGTTGATCTAGTGTGGTTCTAAGTTCACCGAAATGCGATCGATCGTTCATTTCTGAGCTTTCCCCGAGTTAAAAGAGAATATCTCTCCGTGATAAGGTCATCAAAACTTTAAGTTATATCATCGTTATGTACGCACAATCGAAGACTATGTGCCCTCGCCTTTCTTTTGTATCCGGTCTTGTTTCGTCTTGCTCTTGTGAGGAAATCGTGTGGAGAAATACAACGGCGATTTTGCAAAGTGATGATGATATACGTGATTGGTACATTACCTAGCAAATAGCTGTTGAGAAACCCGACTTTGATAACACGAGCTATATACGGATTTATAATAAAGTTCGGATATAACGCGCGCTGTCATTGGTTGAAAGAGCTTGCTCTATGAGAGTATAGAGCATAGAACTGAGCTAAAGCTGTCACGCCATCTGCCAATTGTACTATGTTCGACCTTTTCCGGGACTTCTTTTTAGCTTTTTCCCGATAATTGAAAGTGAAATTTCGGAACTGAAGCGAGCCGGCAAGTAGCAACAGAAGAATCAAACCAAGGTTTGTAAACATACCAGGCGCCGTAATTTACGTTATTAAAACGTGAGCAGATACGAAAATCCTCAAAGGAAAAACAAAATAAACATTCCGAGTTTTAAAGATTTTCACGCTCAGTTAAATTGCAAGCTTACGTACGGTAATAAAAATCAAAGACAGCTAACACTCGTATAGTATATAAAGTTCAGTGTTCAAAAACAAAACAGAACAAAACAGAAATGATGAAAAAAATAACCAAACTGGCGTAATTGTTAAAATTCATACTAATCATAACGGTGTCTGAGCGAATATGATCATGCTAAGTTCATCGCGGCTCGCTCATCATGGCGATCTCCGGTCATCACAGTAAAGCAAGCCTCAGAAACTACATCGGCCGCCCTTCGAGTGAAAAAATAAGAGCTTGCTCTGATATCATTTCCAATACGTTTGATTGGCAATTCACATCAGTCACTGCAACCGAGTTTTGCGGCGCTGTCATCACGAGCGATCTTCATGTTTCGGTGAATTCGGCTGTCTTTCATTCAAAAAACACTCGCCTTGAACAGCTTGTTTTCTACCTTGTCATGTGGAAAAAACTCGCGTGTTTTTATGAGCCATAATTCGGCTGAATTTCACTGAACATTTCACTTCGAGATTCTGTATTAGAGACTTAAAAACTTCAGGCAAAAGTGTTAAATTCGACTTGCCGAACTATTTTAGTTTGTAAACTATCGTAGAATGTGAACTTTGATGGTTTTTGAACTTTGATGGTTTGACACTTTTGACAGCTTTAGTCTTGTACAGCCAATCAGATTATTTGAACCATTCTAACAAGGATTCTGATTGGCTGAGGACTTTATGAGAGTATAGAGCAGGACATTGTTGTTCTTTGGAAATAAAGTTTGTTTTGAAAATTGAAAACACTTGGGATTTAACGATTCTCGTGTTTCTCCCTAAACACTTTCTTTCGAGCAAGAAGTGAGAAGAAACACTCGACTACGTCTCTTCCTACTTCTTTCTTTATAACAGAACAGAGCACAGTCAAGGCTTCTCTATTTGTTAAATAAGATATTCGGTGCACGTGAGTGAAATATGCCCGCAATGCGTGCTTGTGAAAAAAGAGTACAAAAACGCCCAAGCCACGTTGCAGTGTAAAATGCCCGATTGTGGAACGGCCTTTCACTTTTCTAGCGTTTTTACCTCAATTGAATTTGAAAAAACCTTTAGTTATTTTTTTGCCTAATTCATCCACTTCCTTTCATGTGGAAAGCGACTGGAGTGGTGGTAGTTAAATAATTTGGACTTTCTTTTTTATTATTCTTTTTTCGTAGTGTGCAAATGAAGTTTCCATCTCAAGCGATGCGAGGAGTGAGAGAGTGTCGCTTTGAAAGGTAAAAATTGACAGCGTCATTGGTAAACGGGGGGGGAGGGGGGTGCGGCAAAAAGAAAATTTTACGGACGGTTTATGTGCTAATACTCTTTATATTTCTCTCAGTCTCTGCTCCAAGCACTTTTTCCTCGTTTGCTCGCTACTCTAAAAGAAAAAGGTTCAACACAATAATCATATAATTACGGATTTATCGTGGACCATTCGCCTCCATTAATAGTGTAAGGACATTCGAACTCGCGAACTTTTTCTCAACGTCGATGAAGATAAATGTAAACTATCACCTGCATGGAACAATTTGCTGGAGAGCAAATTTCGACGGAGAAGTAGATCGGAATCAGCCGAAAACTGAGTCGAGTTAGTCTGAGAACTGGTCCCACGTTTCTCATTTATTTATCAATTTCTCCATTTTTTTACAACTATTTTCCTTCGACACAAGGATAATTAGGATAAATGTTTCTTGGAAAGGTGACTGGTGCAGTTCTAAGATTCTTGAGAATCGGCTAGCGTAAATAATTTACATGACAAGGGATCGATGCAATTGACATTCTTCATGGCAAAAAAATCTAACGGCCAAAGTGGCCGTTAGCTTTTTCTCTATGGAAGATATAATTCATAACTGGTAAGGAAGGGATACTTTCTATACGAGGCTTTCTGAGAAAGCAGGCCCTGGTCACCTGCGTTACACTTTCCCGCCAAAACTGTAATACGTCGTGGCGTCGCAATGCACCATCTCACTTTTGGCGGGAAAATGGTTTGCTTCGGCGTACGGTTATTAGATGACAATCCTTTTGGTTCTTGGTTTGAAGAATGCTTTTGTTGGGCATAGGCTTATTTTATCTGTATGAAAGTAGAAAATCTCTCTTGGTCTTCAAAAAACTGCAAAGAACTGTGAGCAAGAGGAAAATTTGTCTGAGTTTGAAACTGTTCTCGAAGGAAGGTTAGTATGTTGTTATTGGCGCCGAGCAGAGACAAACTTTTTTTCTGCACGAGTTTGTAGCGTATACATAATATTTTTATGGTTTTGGTGTAATCTTTCGGTCGACGTTAGAATAATAAATCTAAAGTAAAAAAATCGATCATGTTCAATTAAGTGTTTTTTAAAGGAGAACTAAGTCAACTAGCATTTTAAGTAGAGAATAATACATGGGCGCGCGTAGATATGAAGTTTTCTCTTCGAGTGTTTAACGCGATAGAGATGTCTAGTTAAACACGAGAAGAGAAATTTCACATCTACAAGCAATTATGTAATATTTTGTTTATCATATAAGCACAATAGCCCTTTACTGATAAGAAAAGTCGACTTTATTTATGAATGAAAATAAAAGGTCGAGAATCCCCCAATACAAATCGTGATGTGCTTTGGCACACTCAAGATGAAAACATGCTTTAAATCACTACAAAAACAAACAATGGATCTAATTTTCAATATACAAAATTTTCAGTTATTGACTTGGTCCTTACTGACAGAAGAAATCTTTCAGGCGCACGGCCTAAATTGGCCTGTGACAAATCTTCCAGTTGTCAATTTTCGTTCTCAGCGGCGAGAAATGCCATTACCAAAGCCACTGAATACGTAACTTTCGATTTTTCTTTTCGTTTTTTGGTTTTCTTCCCCTTCTAGGAAAGTTTGAACGTCACTGTTTGTAAGCAATACAGATTTTTCAGTGTTTTAGCAGTCATAACTCGAAAAAAATTCCGACAAACGACCTTGAATTGAAAATGGTGAAGGCTTTGCCGTTCATTCATTAGAGTGATTTGGCAAGAGGACGGGAACGTCATTTCAGAATGGGAAAGCGCGCGGATAGTCTGGACACGACTCTATTTCGACTTCCGGTGTTAGCGTTGCCGTTCTCCCCAACAAGTTCAGGCCGTCATTACGCTGGTTTTCCTGCCGCGATCAAAACGCCTGGAATTTGCGTAAATTGTGCGCTTATAAACGAGATGTTTGGAATTATTTCAGAACTCATTTCTGGGATAACCTGGTCCCTTCCTTTGGTTTATTCGGTGTATTTTGGGAAAATTTACCGCTTCATTTATGCCGAATTCCCGAAAGGAAACACAATCGTTGGCAAGCGCCGGATCCAAGATTTTAGGACTCAGTACACTTGTAATTGAGCAAGGCTTAAAACGCGAAGGGCTGCTCTTTGATACATTACTTTAATCCTGTATGAAAACTCTAAGAATGGGACGCTGTTAATTTTATCATGAATCAATTCATCAATAAATTAAACTTGCTTCATGTTGAAGTTTATCAAAATGAAATATCACGACGCTTACCTACTGTATTATTCAATGTTATTTGTTGTTATTGTCGTTTTTACCGTGATTGAAAACTTTTCTGCGTATTGAAGTCAGAGATGAAAAAAATTGAGAATAGCTCAGGTATGCATTTTTGATCAGGACCGGTGAAAACTAAGACAAGAAAGTCATGCTCTCGCTTCGAAATAAAATGACAATCAACTTGATTCGGCACGGCTTTCTAAATCTTTTAATTTGATTGAGTCTTCAACGACTTCATTCGTTTAAAAAATAATTAAATTGAACAAAAACGAAAAAAAAAAAAAAAAACAGAAACGAAGTCTTACTCCTAAGTCTAACCGCTTCGTTGGTGACTAGTTTGAGTTAATTTCATTCTTTCAAGGATAAACAGGGACTCATCGTAAACAACTTCATCGTTGGGTCGCCTGATTTCTACATGGTTTCGCCATAACTCCTGATAATTCCGTTCAAAATGTATTTCAACTCTAAGAGGGTGGTGCTCAAAAGAGATGTACTGTCATAGTTAAGAAGAATATTCAGTAAACAAGAGGAAAAACGACGACGATTTCCAAATTATTCTTTACAAAATTATGAAGAAAA